TGAGCGACGTACTCACCCAGTTTCTGATGGTGGCTTCGATGGCCGAAGGTGAGAGTGCTGTAACTGGCTGCGGTCCAAGGAATGCCTGGTCTGAGCCAACTTTCGCCAGAGTCAAGCAAGCTCCTTACGTTTGCCAACATAACTACTTTGGAAGTAGTTAGAGGGCTGGCCAATGCCTTAAGTGCAGTTTCACTGTCACTGCAGACATGTAAATTCCTTTCCCTCCATCTGTTTTCCCATGGGTCAACATGGCTATGCGGTTTCTAAATATCTCAGACTGGAACGACAGAAGCATACTACCTAACTTCGATGAAGACCCCAGATCCTGACCTAGAGTCAGTTTTGGAGCCATCAGTGCATATGCGACAATGTGTGAGCCCGGGCTCAGTGCTGGTATTAAACCATCATTAACCCTCAGGGAACTCAACATTATAAAACCTCTTCAACAAAGGTAATGCTGTCGTGCTATCCTGTCTCTGTCGCCAACAATTTCCGTCTTGCCCAATTCAGTGTTATACATCCGTTTCTTTTTAGTCTGCAGGTGGCCTCTAAGGCTTCCCCACGTATGAAGACACAAAGTGACGGTCAGTTGAGCAGTACGTCAAGAGCAACGCCAGGTGTTGTAGACAAAGCTCCCGTACAGTACACGGCAATAGTTCTTTGAAGTTTAGCAAGCACGCAATTGATTGAGAGTCTGCGCCACCATACCACAGACGCATAGCTGATTATGGGTCTGATCATAGAAGTGACGGACTCCACGTTTTGCAAAAGACCTGTTTACATTGCCAAAATACTGCCAATGCTTTGGAGACCTTGTGTTCCATGTGAGATTTCCACGATAGGTTTGTATGCAGAATTACTTCACTTCGGGATAATTTTGAATTGTGACTCCTTTAAGAGTGGGTGTGATTGAAACCATCCGGCCTTCTCATTCTAGTGAAGAGCACAACACTAGTTTTGGTTGGGTTAGCGGTGAGCCCATTTCCATCACACCAAGTGTCAATCATATTCATTATTGTCTGCACTCTCTCTTGCAAACAGCCGGCAGAGATGGACCCGTAGCGTAGATATTAAAGTCATTAAGAGTAACAAGAAGAGAATCAACTACCAGGCACCAGAGCACCTTTACCATTATCTTTGTATCTTTTACTCTCGCATTCTTTTCATTCCCCCTCACAAGTCTCGTTAAAGGCTCAGCGCAAAACGTTTCCAAAACCGCCTAAGAAGTTTCCCTTTAAAAACTTTAATCAAGAATAGCATGAAATTTATATTTAAGCTGAGTTCACTCACTCTTCGGACAGCAAAAGTATGCAGAAATATCAACGAGTTTAAATATGTTTTAATGCTAAATGTATTGAGATAAATTAAAATATATAGCCGAAGAATGCAGAACGGCAACCGAAATAGTTGCTCACTGTATCAAGAAAGCAAGAAAATTGAAAATAGCAGTAATAAAGCTATCCAGCAGCTGTTAGTTTCAAAATCAACATTGTATGCACCACCAACACACCAACTTTTACCCGCGTAAAAGCCACAATGTTGGTCGCAGCAATGCCTGCAGCTTTTGCTTCATCTGCCGACAGCTGACCGCAGAGTGGGAAAACAAAGCGCTTTGGAAGGCAGGCTCGAGCGGGGCGATGATGTGGCGTTGCAGTGCGAAAATTCGTTTAACTATGGAAATTATATATGTACATTCTACTTGGGCTGCGTTGAATTCTGCTTTCGCTACGTTGTTTAATTTGTTCTTTTCTTTCCTTTCTTTTTGGTTTTACGTAAATATTTACGCTGTTTTGTATGAATTCTCGGTGCTGCAATGCAAAATGACGCGACAGCTAATGCGATTCGAAGGGAAATTGGGCTTGTAAATTCATTATTTCATTTTTGCTACCAAATTGTGGAAAATTTCGTTGTGAGAGCAAATTGAGAGGAAATAAGTTAAGGCAAAAAATTTGAGCAGTCGAAGGAAAAAATATTTTTAGTACATAGATTTATATAATAGAAGTTGAAATGGATCAAACAATTATGACCGAATCGGCATTTTAGAGAAAATAAATCACGTCGAATGAGTACGGTAAAATGATACATATTACCAAAAATTTGGGCGATGCATCGCGATGGCCAGACTTCTGGTAGAATCGCGAAACGAAGGCGGACAAAATTTATATTAGCGTATTAATATATAGATTTTCCCGATGCATGCATGAAGTTTATGGTTTTAGTGTATACATGTATGTATGTACACTAGGATGGTCCAAAAAAGTAAAGTAAGTAATGCTCGCACCATCTAGAATTGTTCTATATCGAAAAAAAATTTTACGCCTATTTTCTTAACTTGAAATCAAAAAATAATTAGAGGTCGCTCAAGGCGCTCCAAGTTTTCCATGTATTTTATATGAGGAAAAAAAACAACTTTTCTGGGGGTTTTGACGGACTATAAAATATAGTTACTTCGAAAAATGGTTAAAGGGTTAAGGGAGTGAGAGCATACAAATTCCGACTTTACTCTTTCGCATGCATTTTTGGACCACGCTGTAATGTGTATGTATGTACATTTGAAAAATAATAGGGACACGAGACCTTAAAAAAAAAGACGCGCGCAATATCTGGATGCGCTTGCGTTCGATTTAAAAGCATCTTGATCTGTTGTTAATTTGCTGTTTTTGACCTGGGAGTAATTTTAATGCTTTTAATAATCATTTTAATAAAAGCAAATAATAAATATCCCATTTATTATGCAAAAATTTAGTTGCTTATATTTTTGATAAGGACTCTCATCAAATTTCTTGGCGGAAAACTCTCGAGAAATGTTTTCATCTCTTTTTTCACATTCGTAATAACTACTTTTTACGCGAAAAACAAATTCCCATTTTTTGAAGTTTATTTGGAATAGTAGGAAAGTGAGAAGAGAAAAATTTCCCGAGAGTTGTCATTCAGAAATGGGTTGTTTATTTCCTCCAGGTATAAAACTGTTTTTTATATTTTTATGAAACACGTTCCTTTGAGGTTTGCAACCATTTTGCACTCGATCTATTATATTATTTTCCAGAACCAGCAAATTTTTCTATTAAATGCAAAGTTCTAATATTAGCCTAAAGCAGGCCCGGCTGCAAGGGGGGATTTCGGCGGTTTAAACCCGCCGCTCTCTGGAGGGAAATATGCATAATAATGGTAAAAAATATTTCAACATATCAATTATTTAAGATCTCTTTTCAAAGGTAGTGGCAGAGAGATCTAGCTTTAATTTGAGACACGAAGGTTCTATCACCGTTTGTTTCTTTGCTAGAGCTTCTAAAATATTGCAAAAACCGAGAATTTTTGACAATCTGACCTCGTTTTTTTCAAAATCTGGAGCTGATGGGAACTTTATGCTTACAGATTCGTAATTAGCACAAAAAAAAAAATCTATCAAAAGCAGCTTTAACATTTGCGGTCCCAAAATTTTTCTTATTTTTGTTGGGCTCTGTTATGCATGAAAAAAGAGCAAAGATTCAGAATTCCGCTTTTTTTTCTACAGAAAAGCCGTGAGGCCTTTTGGAAAATTCAACATGGAGTCTCAAATATGGCATGCAAAGTAACCATAAATAATAATTTTTCGCACGTTTTACTAATTATTTAAAATAAAAAATTATTTTTTTTTTAAGTTTGTATAAAAAAAATGTGGCAAATGAAATTCTCTATAATTTGATCTACATAAATTTACTTGGCCAAAATTTAACTTCTGAATTCCTATAAAATTATAATTTTACGTGGAAAAACCTCGATACCTTTAAAAGTTGGGGGAGGTTTAAAAATAGATTTGCCATATTTAACATGGGATGGCAAAACTACATCAAGTGCCATTACAATGTATTGAATTTTCCACTGCCTTTCGAGGCACGCCTCTTCGTTTACCGATTTTTCGCAGGGCATGTTTTCATGAACAAAGGAACATTTCTAGGGGGAGTCTTGCTTTGTAGCTTAACAAAATATTTTCTCCTTACAACTAAGGCGCAGTCTAATGTGCAGGCATGGGCATAGAACGAGCACAAAATGGGCTAGCTTTTCTCAATATTCATCGCAATTTGGATGTTAATGTTGACTCAGTATTAAAAGAATTTTTATCTATACCTCGGTGAATTGCATGTGATTTTTCTTTGAGTTTTGCTAAATTATGTCCACAATTAAATACAATCCCTGTGGGGAAAATCTCTAGATCTGAACTGGTGCGCTTCTAGTACATTTAGACCCAGTACTGGTTCGCGATAAATCTCTTTTGCACGCAAGCAACTGGCGAATTTAACATGGCGATGTCCTAGGAAGTGTCAATTGCCCCCCGCTGCATCCCTTTTTCGTAAGTTCCGAACTAGTCCAAAATTCTATAGTTCCGAACCAGTTCTAAAATCGACAGACGAAAGAAAAAAGTATCATGATTTTTCAATCTTTTTAGTTCTTCCGTGTGTGCGATTTTAAGTTATTTTGGAAGAAATGTGTTTTCAATTCGAAATTAAATTTGTTTGAATGATTGTAAGAAATGTACGTTTACATACCTTTAGCTGTAGCTAAGTTTGTAGAGGTGCTCGCTGTTATTTCTTATATTCCATACGGTCCCAAGATGTTAAAATGTTCACACAAATTTTAGTTTTGTATTACCAAGCTATGAAAAAGCATCTGCGAAGCACAGAACAGAAGCGTATTTGAACGAAAAAGCCGCCGAACACATATCTATTTAAAGTAAACAAGCCACCCGCTGCATCCCTTATTCGATAGTTCCGAACTAGTTCTAAATTCGACAAATAAGATCTAGTTCGTTCTGCATCCCTTTTTCTATAGTTCCGAACCATTTCTAAATTCGTTACTTTAGATATAGATTTCTACGGAAAAAAACTTAAAAAAAATAGTTTTTTAAAAGTACCACTTTTCGCCGATTTTGGACTGGTGGGGATCTAGTTCGTATCGGACTAGTTCCTTTTTGGCTATAAAGACCTAGTACGGAACTAGAAATTTGATTCACTAGTCCGCGGTTTCCCCGCAGGGATATGCTGAGTACTCTAAATAAAACAATAATGTTCTTGGTTGTTACGAATGACTTTAATTAACGAAGCAATAATTCTTTCGGATTGTTTTTTATGAGTTTTCGTTTGGACATTGTCTTAATTAATTTAATTATTACCAGACATTAAATATTGGTCACATATACATATATATTTTCACTTACAAAAATTCAATTGGTTTTAAATTTTTTCAGTATATTTCATTACAAATCTTACTGACTAGATGAAAAAAAAAAACAAGATACGAAAAACCAACTTTGGTTCTGTTTTTACTCCATTCCTCGGAGCACTCCGAAAATGCTCCTTCGAAGTGTTGCTGCGAGAGTCCTTTTTTACTCCATACCCGGAGTGCTCCAAAAACGCTCCTTCGAGGTCTTGCTGAGGGAGTCCCATTTCACTGCATGCCCGGAATCCTTCATACATATTTTTATAGTGCATAACATAAAGTGGTGTTTGAAGCAAGTATTGACGCCAACGAAGTCTTCTTTCATTTACCAGTCCCACTAAATAGCTTGATTTGTGCATTGTCTTCCTCTTTATACGAACGTTTATATAATGATCATCATCAATATTTCGAGGTAAATGTTTCACCATATTATTCAAGTCGACTGGCACAATAATAATTTGCACCTAAATTGCGTATTGCCCATGGACGTGTCTCAACCGTATTTCACGGCGAGGCAAGTCTTTCATCCAGTGATGGTAAGAACGCAGGTGTATTTTTATTTTTAAATTCTTTATTTCGAAGAAATTATAGGTCCTGAAATTCAAGCTTCACATCTGCTGGGAAGTTACCTGGAAAGTGATTTACAATATCAGTTATTAGCATTTGAAAAATAAATTTTGTATATACATTTTCATGTATAAGCAAAAATATTCGAGCACTCACAATGATCATTTTCATTATTTGGTCGAATAGAACCATTTTCTTGTACGTCTAATTCATCCACCGGTAAATTATCTGAAAACAAAATGACAAATAAGGACACATTTGATGCGTGGAGGATATGCATATGATCTAGTGCATATGAGCAACGAGGACTAAGGACAAAATCTGGTAATAGTCACGTAGGTACTTACCTGAACCGTTTTCGCTATTTTTCACGGTGGACGCGTTATCATGATTAGGGGCATCCAGAAATTCTTGCTTTACATCCGCTGGAAAGTTACCTGAAAAGTGATTCATAAAAATTATGACCTATTGGCACCAATGCATTTAAAAAGTAAATTTTGTATGTATGTATAAAAAAAAATATTCGAGCACTCACAATGATCATTTTCATTATTATTTCCAATAGAAGCATTTTCTTGCACACCTAATTCATCCGCCGGGAAATTATCTGAAAACATAATGATGCATGGAAGATATGCATATAATCTAGTGCATATGAGCAACAAGGAATATGGACGGAATGCGTTAATATTCAAGTAGATAGATACTTACTACAAACGTTTTTACCATTTTGCACAGTGGACGCGTTATCATGCGTAGGGCAGTCCAGAAATTCAAGCTTTACATCCGCTGGGCAGTTACCTGAAAAGTAATTCATAATATGATCGTTTAGCACCCATGCATTTAAAAGGTAAATTTTGTATATCTGGAAGTATCTATGTGTGTACCAAATTACAGGAGCACTCACAATTATTAGTTTCATTATTATGTCCCATAGAAGCATTTTCTTGCACATCTAATTCATCCACCGTAAAATTATCTGAAGAAAAATTACAAATAAACAAATAAGGATACATGTGATGCATGGAATATATGTATAGGATCTAGTACATATGAGTATCAAGGACTAAGGACGAAATGCGTTAATATTCAGTTAGGTACTTACCACGATCATTTTCACTATTTTGCACAGTGAACGCGTTATCATGCGTAGGGGAAACCGAAAATTCAAGCTTTAAATCCATTGTAGAGTTACCTGAGTTGTGATTCATAATATGAGCTATTAGTGCCAATGCATTTGAAAAGTAAATTTTGTGTATATATATGTAGAAAAATATTCGAGCACTCACAATGATAATTTTCGTTATTAAAACCAATAGAAGCATTCTCTTGCAAATCGAATTCATCCACCGAGAAATTGTCTGAAAACAAAGTGACAAATAAGCATACCTATGATGCATGGAGGATATGCATATGATCTAGTGCATATGAGCAACGAGGACTAAGGACGAAATGGGTTAATACTGAAGTAGGTACTTACTACAAACGTTTTCACTATTTTGCACTGTGGACGCGTTATTATCCGTAGCGGAATCACTATCTTGCTCATTTAATAACGCCTTTCGGCGTGCACGAAATTCACGGACACGTTCTGTTGAAGTTTTTGGCGGTGGTTTAGGCTTATTTCCTCTTAGTCTTCGCCGATACTCACGAGCCTTTTCGGCCCTGGTTTTCAGCATATTTGATTAAAATAAATTTATTGTCATATGCGATATACAAAAATAATAGAACACGGCACGCACGGCCAGTTTCGTTATATCTACGTAAGCGTCCACACATGTACTAACGTTTCGTTTTACAAAATATGGCAGTGGTTCTCCGAAAATAAGAGAAGAAGAAACCAAAAACAAACTCACTTCAACTTCAACTATTTCACTAGACGTCTGTGCAGTATTACCAGATTAATCTTTTTGAGGCTAGCTTGGGCATTTAATTTTAAGCCACAGCGTCAGCATTGCCGGTCTGACTTCGTAGCTTTTTTCTGGCCAAATATTCATAATTAAAATCGGACCGAAACCTTTAAAAATAGTTGCCATATCACAAATATTTAATATATCAAAAGCTACTGTTTTCCTTTCAAATATTACAATTATAAAGCAAGGTATCATTTCCTTGAGAACATATTTTCTTAGCCTTTCTTAGATATAAAGAAATAGTACTACGAAAGTTGCCTTAAACTGTATTTTTGAAAAAAAAAAATGCATTTGTTGGCTAGTGCATTCATATTTCTATTCGAACATTTTTTTGGGTTCTTGGTATCCTAATGAAGCCGTTATAAACTTGAATTATGTTATTTTGTTTTTTGATGAGAATGATTTAAAAATATTTCATAATCGGTTTCGCGGAACTTATCGAGTTGGAGAAAACTTTTTAAGGAATGAATATACTGAACTATTTTTAACTTTATTTTTCACAGGGTATAGCTTTTTCTAACCTTTCCTCAAAACCAATTTAGCATTGCACTTTGGTGTCATCTGGTCACACTGCTTCTATGTACATTCAATGGTCGGCAAAACTGAAAGTGAGATTGGGTCGGTGAGCGCAGAGCAATTTGCGCTACAGTGGTGTAAAAGCAAAGCGTATCGAGTAAATGTAACGTGTGAGAATATGAAGGAATATCTTTATTTTGAACAGCTAGTCTACAAGGTGTTGTTATCGGAGCAGCTGATTTCAAGAGTTAACTGCACCGACTGTTAAACTTTTTTTTTGTAAATCTTAGTTTGCTATCATTGTCATTTTGCGTATAATTTGTTAGTGTAGTTTTTTGTTTTTGTGCTGCCGCTATCTCCTTGTATTGGCTTTGCTACAATTCCCAATAAAACCAAAAAGTGCATGTAAAAAGAACTTACAAAAAAATCGTATATGTATCAAAACTTTTAAATTAGTCTGCAGGTCTCAAGAAAAATGGCAAAGTACGTTTCCAACCAACAGAAATAATGAAAAAGGTCCTTGCGATTTCTAAAGCTTAACGAATAAAATAAAAATAAGAAAATAGTTGTTGTATATCAAAAGAAATAATACATAGGAAACTAAAATATTATAATGCCCTTTGACATTATATTTCCGCTCTCCTTTTATGGAGAAATGCCACAAGAGGCATTGCATTTCACCAAAAGAAATGAAATCATAAAGGCTGTTCAGTTTCTTGTGCATATGATCTTGTATTTGTAAATTCCCTACAATGAAATGAAAACGGTGGCCATGGTAGCAAGCATGAAATTTGCAAATGCAAATCCAAGACCATTTCCGCAATATTCTGAACAGCCCTCTATTTGTAAGGTAATTTTTAATCGTATATACATGTGTATGTATGTGTGCCGCATATGACAAAATAACCAGGGCAGTCCCCACCTATGATGCTCCGTTGCTGCCAGAGCAACGACGAGTGTTGCCAGAAGTATAATTTATCTTCAAAATTAAGATATTTTTCAAAAATAATCAGAAAAATATTCACATGAATGTAATTACAACAAAATAAAACTCCATACGAAAAATCTTCACAGTGAAGATATCTGGCAGCAACAAAACGGAAAGGAAATTTATTCATAAATTTTAATTAACAAATTAAACTTTCTATAGTTGACTTTATAGAAACGTCATCATCATCCGATAACGATGATGAACGCACAGATCCTGAAAGTTTTTTCTCAAATAAACTTGAAAAAACCACCACCTTACGTGATATTCCTTACATAAATGTAGGGTGGCCAGATGCGCTGATTTAATCAGTAGGTGTGCTAATTTTTTTCTATTGCACTGATTTTTAAGAGCCCGAAATCAGTACGCAAAATCTACTGATTTTTTGAGTTTGTAGTGATTTTTACATTTAATACTTTTTTAAATTCGTGTAATTGACATTTACTTGAGGTTTACATGTTCAAAACAATGGTTTTTGACAACTCATACGTGTGAGCAGATTGAAAGTATTAATTAAATTTAAACCATTATTAAAAAGGTGTCCGCTTGCAATTGTTTCGTTCCTAGGATTTCGCAAAATAGCAAACTGTTTGGATTCAAACCAACCCAATTTCACGATTTGCAGGTTTTACAGGATTTACAGGAAAAGCTGGTTTCGCCATTAATAAATCTTACGAAGGGTGGTGGTGAGTTAATCATATATTAAGTACACTGAGAAGATGACAATAAGAGATAATCTTTCAATTATAATGAAACATCCCCTGTGAAATCGGCTGTCAGTATTTCAGACTTAAGACGACTACTGCTACGGTGCAATGTAAGTTCTAAAAATTTGGAAAAGGTGCAAACTACCGACTTTTGGATATGATAGATGTAGCATTACTCGACTCGAGCTCGTCTTCTACTGAAACTGAATGGGCTACAAATTTTTTTTATTTTCTCAATTCTTATAAATTTTCTAGAAAGCTTGAGACTTCAACTTACATGTCTTTTGTTATAGAATTAACTATATTTTTATAAAAAAATTAAATTAAGTAAGGAAAGAAAAAATTTTCAAAACCTGTCTATACATTTTACTACTATTTTCCTGAGCACAGCTGTACATACATACGTAATATCATTGATTTGTTTTATAGTAATGAATTTTTGTATTAATAATACTAAACGTATTTAAAAGTCTATTAGTTATTTTTTTTTGAATTAATGCGCTGTTATTTGGTTGTTATATTGTTAATAATAAAAAATACGCTTAAAAATTAGCTGATTTTTATGGCTCTGTACTGATTTTTGATCCCCACTGTACTGATTATGTCCCTATAATATCTGGCCACCCTACATAAATGTTTATTTAAAAAGTACGGTCGCGAGTGAGGTTTAAATGAGAACAAATATTTATTAAAACACTTTAAAAGTACAACTAACAAGACTTTAAATAAAACATATACATGCTTATATACATATGTCGTACGTGTAAATTTTTACAGTTCTCTGCAACTTTTTATTAATTCTCAAGTTTGGATAATATGTACACTTAGAAAAAATTCAGTTAAATTATTTCTCTAAATACACGATTTGGTAACTATAATCAAATAATATAACTATATAACCACGTCATGTGTTGAGACAAACATATTACATATTTAGTTGACGTAACTTAACTTTTTTCTCAGTGTTACAAAAATACAAGTTAAAGTACTTGTAAGTGTTGTGAACTAGTCAAGTAAATCTGTTATGAATTCATTAACTTTTATTTAAAAAAAATGTGTTATGGTTTTTTATAGAACACAAAATAATTTTAATAGAGGAATTGAACTTTTTGTTTGTTTGTTGTAAAATCTTCAATAAAGGTATTTCTAGAGAAACAAGATTTTTTGTAAGTTTCAGTAATCTTTTTATGGGTTTATGAAGATTTTATCATCACTTAGCAGATTTAAAAAAAAAAAGGCGTGAGTACTAGGTACTCATGAAGTTTGATGTGTATACATATGCGAACGACAAAGCATAAAAGTACGTTTATATATAAATATAATCTCAATCAAAGCTCGTTAGCTGTCAAATTGGTTGTGCTTGTTATTCACACAACTCGAGGAAAAGTTAATCTTCTTCTCTGTGCCACCGTGGTCACTTTTTTTTGCAACACATATTAGGCCATTTAAATATATTTTAACAGAATATTTTATTAAAAATACCTTTACAAACCTATTTTCCCTACTAGTGTCAATTTTTGTTTACTTTAACATTTGACATTCCTCCTCTTCTTCGCAAGTATAATCGATAAAACTGGGTTGGACACCAAAAAGTTATCGGTTTAATCTGAGATATCTTTAATTATAATTTTGCCTGGCTAATCTCTTTTTCTAATAACAGATTAGGGAGTCAAGCTCGAAAATTAGGATAATATTTTTATATATAAAAGCGATTCAGTTACACACATACAAATGTAGGTTAGGTTAGAAATTAAACATTAATTTCACTTAATTTTGTTCATTTTGCTGATTTCATTTTTTTACTCATTTTCATTTTTAATTATTTTAATACATGGCATTATCGGTATGATTGATAAAATATACTTGTACATATATAGTTGTGACTCAAGGGCGTTAAAATATCTTGGAAACACCGCATATAGGTAGATTTTCAGGTTTTATGCGGCAAAAAATATTTTATTGCCTCTATCTACTCAAAATTGTTTATCAAATGTAAAATTGAAATAATTTGTATTACAGATAGGTTATGTTAATAAAATATATATATTAGCCAATAATTTACTATTTAAATATATTGACTACCTTTGTTTATAAAATGTGTGTACACTATCATTGGTTAATTAGTTTTCGCTTTCAGAATCTTCGCTGGCCTCACACTATTCTTTTGTCACATCTTTGACAACGGATTTAGAGGGTAACAGCAGCTTTATTGTGTCTGGGGGAAACGATTTGATATTTTTTCTTTTTTTGGTCATGAACCGAAATACTGCTTAAAAACGAGTCCAAGCTCATCAACAGCCGGTTATATATGTCACGTTACATACTTCACGAGAAAACTTCCGGGAATAATTTTCTCGGTAGTGTTTGTTGTGGGCCTCTTGAGCCTCGCCGATAATTGTCCTATTGTTAATAAGGAATTAGTATCTTGTGCATTGCGGGTGTCATAGGATGCCATGCCGTCGTCGATTCGCCACTTCTCGCTCGCTATGTTTGAGTTCCGGTCGCTTAACGAAAAATTTTGCATGTGAAAGCAACAACAAAGTTAGCTAGCACGGATAGACGATAGCAAGTTTGGTTGTACCTCATTGAGTTCGTTCGTTTCGCCACTTGCTAACTGATGGTGAATCGATGACGACTAATAATCAATTGTAGCGCATTTCCTCTTACTAT